GTTTTTTCAAACCCCAGGTTTTTTTTTTTGGGGGGGGGGGGGAGGGATTGCCATAACCACAAGGATTATTAATGTCACTTAAAAATGGGAAATGGAAAAAGGAAGCTGAAATTCTCACATCATCATCTGACTCAAGGTGCTATGATCTTCAAGGAAACAAACAAACCAAACCAGTGAGATTCTTCAAAAAGTCAAAAAGTTGGTAATGGTTTGACATAGATTTTTTAACTTATTTAAAATATGAACTTGCAGTTAACAATTAGATGAAGTCAGCATTAGGCTGGCTAGCATCATACTAATGTTTTGCTTGGAGAAGATGATCTCATTAACAAGAAACAAACAGACATGGTATTGTCTATAGATCAGCAATTATAGATTAATATATTTGCCTATATGTCTGCAAGCATGTGCTTCAACATCATTCATTAATATTTTGCGACTGAGTTTGCAAGGAGGAGAAATAGTTTTTCTTAACGTCTGTTTACACTGACATTACATCAGTCATGACACTGAAGGAGAAGTTGATACATGTAAAATTCTGCAGCTCAGACCTGTGAAATGTCTTCCAGAGTGAAAGAAAAATGAATTGGAGAGTCAGCTCTATCGAATCTATGTCATCTATCTCAGTTAGGAATTTATAACCCATGCTTCACCCCGACTCTCAGCTCTTCTAGTTATGTAGAAAACAGGTTCAGTTCTCTGCACTGACATCCATATAAATCAGTAGTAATTCCAGTGAAGTCAATACCAGTTTGAAACCAACATAAATAAGCAAGGGACAAGGGGTAATAAGTCAAACTATTCTCCAACAATAGAAGTGGTTAGGACTCTGCCTGATTGTGCCTTTGATTTCTAGGGTCTGACCCTGCTGTTCCATGTTTCAAAAAACGATTCTGTAGTTGTTGGAGGAAAGTGAGTTATATTCCATTTTCCTACCATGTTGAGATAAAAATAACACAGCAACACACAAGAACATTTTGAATTCAGGAAAAAGAAATGGTTTAATCTGACTGTAGGCACAAAGCCCTGTCTGACATGACTTAGTAACAATACACAGCAATAACCTCAGGTCAAAAGATCAATTACAGTACATGCAAAAAACATCTTGGTGTGCATTAACGTGATGAGATTGATATCACTACTTCTGTAAAATAAATGCACGTCTGTTCACCTAAGGAACAAAAACTTCAGGGACAACCACAAAAGGAAGTGTACAATGAAGCAATCAAAAGCAAGCATGTCAGACACAGAACATTATATATGGAGACATTTAATTTTTTGGAGGCAAAAAATGGTAACAGGCAAGTAACTGAGAGCCAGTTAAGAGTCAAACCTTGAAGTCCTTATTTTAGAAAAATCCCAATTAAAGCCAAGATTTTTGTTGGAATGAGAACTTTGGGGTTTGGCCCTTGGTTAATGAAAAATTATGAATGGTTAGAAATGGCTTCCTCAGTTGGAATTCTATATCATTTATTTGTTTATTATGAGTAAATGAAGGAAATGAAAAAAGTAAATGAAGAAAAATATAATTTCCCATACAAATAAAGTTTCAAATAAATATGGCTATTTAGGAAAATCTGCGATAATTAATATGTACTGAAGTCAAAACTGACATACTTAAAGTTAATAAATAGTTTAAATAAAAAGTTGAAACATTTCATTTTAAGACAATAGGAGGGTTGTTTCTCTAATAATAGTAACATTTTCATCAGTCAAAGGGAATTTCTCATTATAGTTACATTATACTACATTTGAAGAGGTATTGGATTTGCTGAAAGAAAATCATGTAACACAGATATAATTTGACTGTAAACTAAACTGGTCTAGGTTTCTTTCATTTTATGCTAAGTTATGACTTCAATCAAATATACAGCAGTGGCTCACACTAAATGAGTGTCACATACTGGTTCCTACCAGCCTAAGGAAAGCAATGGTACAGAGGTCTCTGGTAAGTGCACCCAACTGCTATACTGATGTACAGATTGAATTATACCATCCTCACCTGTATCAAGACAGTTATGCCTCCTGTCCTTGCCCTCTCAGGGGTGTTATACCCAGGGATGTTAGGAGGGGGCAGTTGGTGAACATGGAGGGGTGGGAGGAAGTGTGATTGCATCCAGCCTTAGTACAGGGGCCAAAGAGTTGAAGGGGGAAAGGTCTCAGACAATTTCCTTCCCTTGTACATTCCTGGAGCAGCCTCACTGCAAGGGAATAAGACTACCCTATTTGGAGACTCTATTATATACCAATAACATTTGGCATTTTGCTGTTATTTGTATGCATCTCTGTTCACAAAGAATAGGTTACACCAGGGGTGGACAAAATAGAGCCTGTGGGCCAGATCCAGCCCACAGAGGGGTTTTGTCTGGCCCACGGCAGGTCTCTTAGTCCCATCCAGGGCAGGCACAGGAAGCAGTCCAGGCCGTGGCACATGCAGTCAGGCCTGCCATCCCCAGACACACGGTGGGGTGGGGGCAGCATAGCCGCTGGACTCTATTTCCTGGCAGCTCTGGTGGCTGCAGCTCCTTCTGACTGCCGCAGCCACCAGACCTGGCCCTGCTGTCTGGACACCCCAACCTGTCCATTCCTGCACCCACCCTTAGGGGTAGGACCCACGTGGGCAGGGCACTTGGATGAGTGAGTGGGATGGGGATGTGGGTGGGTGGGGAGCAGTGTTCAGGAGAGAGACATGTAAGCAGGGCCAGGAGATCTTAGGACAGTGACAGTGCAGGGCCAGGGTTCAGGGCAGAGCTGCAATCCACTGCATGTATACCTACCTCTGTGATGGGCACAAGTTCTATGGGCAGGGTCATTTTGGGGAGGGGATCGTGGCTCTGCCCCAGGCCTGGCCCCATGCTGTTACTGCCCTAAGATCCCAAACCCAACCCTGGATGCAGCTCCCTGCCTGCCTGAAGCATAGCATATGATTTCTATGTTTGACTCACCAGGATAACAATTGAGGGCAAATTTTCCAATCACAAGGGAATAAATCCTCCAGGTAGCCCCACTTATGTGAGCAGGACAACTTGTGTAACAGAAGCACGATTGACCCAGGATGTATGCAAAGAAGTAGACAAGCCAATCATGCCCATTCTCTCCCTGCACTTTCCTTTAGTGAAAAGCAAAAGAAGCAGATGAGCCACAATATTATACAGCACATGTAGGTGAGGAGGGGGAACACCACAGTCCGTCTGACTGGTTGTTGGATAAGTATATTATGCAGGTGCCAATCAGAGCCAAGGAGCACACTGGAATATGTTGTCTATTACTGCAGAGACTGCAGCACCTGATAGTAGGTCCAACCTACCAGGAGGATACTATCCTGCGATGTCCATATACAACCCTGGCACAAAGCCCACGTTTCAAGCTTTGTGAGCAGATGCAAATGTTATCTATAACTATGGCTAACAAGACACATATTCACATTTTGGAGTAGCCACCCTTGTGGCTATATGGAATTCTTTCTGTGTCTAACCTCTTCCCATGTATACGGTAGCCATTATTTTCTGGTCGTCTAAACATCAGGCCAAGACCCAGCTATTCTAGAGATATCAGGTCAACTCTGCCACTGGTTTACTGTATAGATGTGGGTAAGTTACTTACTCCTGATTTTTCAGAGGTGCTGAGCACCAGCAGTGCCCAATAATCTCAAATTGTTTATGCTCAGCACCTGTGAAAAATCACCCCTTAGCCTCTTGTTTTATTTCATGTGAAATTGGGGATACTAGGATAATTTGCTAACTTTCCAACAGTGCTGCAAGAAACAATTAGTTAATATTTATTAAATACTTTGAAACTGGAAGAAGTTATATGTAGGCAGCATATAGTTTATGCTGCCATTTGTACATATAATTCTAATAACAAAGAGTTTAATTTCAGTTTCTGTGGAGAATGTAAAATAAATAGAATAATGGGAGAAGACATAGAGGAACTTCCTTTTGTATCCTAAGATCATCCCTGATGGGGCCATCATGCTCTACCACAAAATTCTGATGAAATGGGACACAAGAAAGTGAAGGAGATGCCACAAATGTCAATGATGACATGTACACTCACATTTTCTTTGTGAATGGAGATAAAAAATAAAGCCAAGCTGGAAACTTGCTTTTAGCGCTATTATTTCTTCTGCTTCTGTTTTCTGCTGCATGACTTTGAGGCATTTTATACAATTGATTTATGGTAATTTTTTTAACAGAACATATACAGTAAGTTGATTTTATGGTCCATATAACCCATGCTTTTTCTTTTTGCCATGCACTGAGATGCAATCACCTTTGTATTGGTCACTAATGTAATAAACAAGCAACTTTTTTAAAAAATAAAGAGCTTCTATAAATAATACTTTCCAAGTTCATTACTATAGCATTCATTAATCAGAACTAAGATGCTTCTAGAAGTATCCTCCTTATTTTATTTTTATTGAGGAATCTTCTAGTACTTATTGGATGTTTATTCGTGCAGTTATTTACAAAGACGGTCCTTGTGGTGCAGGAAACTTAATTAAATTTACAGCTGCAAAGTTACATTTATAAATGCTAGCGTTTACACTTAGACAGAACAAATAGAATTTATTGTACAGCTCTTGGCTGAGCTAACAATGTAATTAAAGTGCAAATAAAGACAAAGAAAGCACAAGCCAGGCAGATCCATTTTTCATTGTTAGCCTTAAGAAGCATCATAATTGGAGTAAGAAATGTCAGATCAAATAGGCCCAGGTCACAATCTTCTTTTAAAACATCCATCTCCCTGAGAGGATTTAAGGGAGGCAAACAGTGATATAGCCCTATTTCTTCAACTGGCTGATAATCATTGGAAAAGAAAGGACACTTTTCCAGCCTAGTTATTCAACAGTGATAATACCTGCATTTTGTTTTATGATGTACTCTACGGGATGCACTTGAACTCATTTCCAAGCAACCATAACAGGCCGCTCTTGGAAACTTGAGGAAACATCATTTAGTTTCAGAAGTGAATTCTACCTGATATCACACACTAGCATGGGTTTTAAAACAGTTACAAAAAGTACTTTTTCCTCTAACTGAGGCTCATCTGCAAAAGCTGACTTCCCCAATGAACATTATACATTGTGTTTCCTGACAGTCAAACTTCACCATGGAGGAAAGAGATTAGAACTGATCGGTGGAATCAGTGTTAAATAACTGAGCAGAAATAGAATGCTTTTCAAACCATTCACTTCAGGTAAGACAAAATAGCTATTTGCACTCTTCATTGCTGACCATTGCTAGGTCAGACAGATATTTCCTCTCACAGTGTGTATAGAAGGTGCTTCATTGATTGAATTGTCCAGGATGCTCAAACCCAAAGTGTGTACAAAAGGTACAGAGAACTCAAACATCTTTATCAGAAGCAAAATTTGTGTCATTCATTACATGCTCTTCACGCCCACCCTGAACCTGGACACTGCTGACCCAAGAACAACTCCCACACTCACATTGTCTTGTTCAGATGCCCATGGCCAGCAATTACCCAAGCAATTACCTGAAAACATTACTTTCCATTCAGTAAATGTCCTCATCATGTAGTGAAAAAATATTTACAAAGTGAAGCTAATTTGTAATATGTAAAATCCTCTGCCTTATAAAAGGCAGATAAGACATTTTAAAAACATAATATTCTATGAAGGAAAACTAAATAACATTTTTTTAAACCAGCATATGCTGTAGAGCTCATGTTTTTAGATGTTATACTGCTTCCATTGAAGGTTAGTTAATGATTCTTAAGGTCCTATTATTTGCAATGAACATAAACTAACGAGACCGGATTAATCCTGCGAATGCCTCAGTAGATACATATTTGATGAGCAACCTATACCAAATCAATGCCATTTGTCTTGCCCATTTATCTTAATCTAATAGACTAAGGTACCTATATTTAGAATTGTCCCCTTTTTGTCACATTAAAAGTACCTGTTCACACAAAAACCTTCTGTTTTCTGTTAGATGCACAGTCCCCTTTGCAAAGCATTATCACTTAACCCATGTCTGAAGCATTCTGTCTTTCACCTCAAACAGCTGATTTTCCTTGCTTGAAAGGGAATTTCTGTGAGGCTAAATCTCCCTTATTGGAAAAGAGAGCTTTCATTCTTCTCAATCCTTCCCCTTGCTGTAGGCTTTGGCATGCATAATTTTGTTCATTCACTAAATCTTTCTGCAGACTTAGGGACAAAGCTGGCTTCTCAGGCAGGGAGTCTAGGTTCAATCTTTAGGGATAGTTCATACAAAGTATCTTCATCTATGATGAGGCTCTTGTCAAGTAAATAGTGAGTGACCTGCAATAAAGGAAGCACAGATGAAAAGACTGCATGGGCATAATTAAGGAGCATCTAGTGTAAGACACGAGAAGTCACAGTACCACCCTATTTGGCTCTGGTTAAGCCTCATCCAGGGTATCACATGCAGTTCTGGGCTATACGTGTTATAAAAGGGATGTGGAGAAGCACAAAAGGACCTAGAGGAAGGCAACAAAAACAATAAAGGGGTGGGAAGGCAAGCCGTAAGAAGAAAGGTTGAGGGAATTAGGTATGTTTAGTTTGGATTAAGGGGGCACATGCTATCATTTTTAAAATATTTGAAAGGCTGCCATAACAAAAAGGGGGAACTGTTTCTCTTGTGGCAGAAAGCAGGACACGAAGCAATAACTCCAAATTGCAGCAAAGTATATTTAGATAAACCTCAGGAAAAACTTTCTTGCTATTAGGCAATGGAGTAGATTGCCCAGGGAAGTTGTAGAATCTCTTTTGTTGGAGGTTTTAAAGAGAAGGCTGGATATCTACTAGTGAGGGATGATTTATAAATAGCATTCTTGCACTCAGGCAGAGGGTTGGATGGATGACTCTCGAGACCCATTCCAACTCTTGGATTCTATGATTCTCTATATTTTTCAGCTGAGTTTCTCTGTTCTTTCTGCACAACAGTTAGCAGCTTCAGTTCACTTCAGATTAATATTTTAAACTTCTGCATGTTGTTTTCTTGGTGAGCCAGAATAGTTGATTGTACATGATTCAAAGTACCTCAGCTGCTCGCAAAAGCCCCAGCCAAGTCCCTTTCAGGAAGGGCCAATCCTCAGCCTTGTTATCTCCTCAGCATATTGCTGGTCTGGGCACTAAGAAGATGCACAGAAAATAAATCCTCCCTTCAAGCCAGTATCCCCCACTGATGTAAGACACTACTTCCATAAAGGGCAGGGAACAAAATGGCAGGATACACATAGCAGCATCAGAGGGTTATGTTCTACTCTATCACCTACTCCCTGTGTGTTGGCATTCTCTGTGGAGCTGAGCTCCATGCTACACAGGGGGAACATAGGTTGAATGGCACCTCCAAATCCTGGCCCTTTATATAGCAGATGTATTTTGGTTCCACCACTACACAGACTACACTGCTGCAGAGGTGAAGGCAAGATTTGCTCTCATGTGCAAAACTGCAGAAAAAAAGAATTCCCCAGTCACAACCCAAAGTGCTAGCACCAATTCCATTGTCTATCTCCTTTTGCCTCTGTGAAAGAATAAAATATGTTCATTTCAACAACCTCCATCCCATTAGTGTATTATAGTACCTATGATCAATATTACCTTCTGTTGATGCTCTATACGGTAAGAGGTCTGCTGGAACTGGCGTATCTCCCTGATAATATGCGATATCTATCAAATGAATATATAGATATATATAAGAACATGTGTTTATAGGCTTTGTCTTTAGCATACTAACTTCAATAAGACTACACCTAGGATTAACTAAGTCTGAAAATACACAATTTATCATAGCCAAGATTTTATTCTTTTGCTTTAAAGCGCTTCTCCTCCCAAATCAATCATTCAGATCCAGTTTCAACTGGATCACCTTCTTCTTTCTTTTTTACATTAGTAACCTCTTTCTTCTGGTGACTCTGCAACCTATCATCATAAACAGTGTAATAAACTATGGAAAGGATGGCAGCTGGTGTCCAGATTTCCCAGGACTGGCCTCTCTATCTCTATTTAAAAGATAATAAACTTTTACATCCTTTTTTGCTTTCTTTGAGAGCAGACCTAAACACAACTTCAGGTATGTGGTATGAATAATGCTCCCAGCTGAATTTCAAAGGCAGCTACATTTTTAAAAAACATTTACCACACCTAAACAAACCTATACTAGCTGCTTTTTCTTCTGGCAATTTTCCACAAACCAAAGACTATATTTGCAATGCAGTACTCCTTAGCTTGCCAGTAGGTGGTGATAAAAGACTGTTTCTGGATTCAAATGCAAATGATTGATTTCAATCCTCTATCTTGTGTTATGAAAATACATGATGTAATCTAACAGGTACAATTCAAATGTTGCAAGTAAATCAGTGAATAACTCCTGTAATTAAATGCCTGTAATGAAAACATATAGTGAAATAAAAATTACCATTCTCATTTTGGAAAAATTGACCAGACCCTCCTCAGTGAAGTTTGGTGTTCCTTCTTCAATAAATGCTAGGTCTGTCAAGTACATTCCAAGGTAAGGAACTGCAGGGGGATTACAGCTGCCGGAGAAGAAAATAAATCAAATTTACCCTTACTCTGAGTTAATTTGCAAGACATTATTTTTATATAATACACATCTTTCTAATTTTTGTGTTTATTATTACTTAACACATTTTTACAAAATGAACCAAATTCACAGGTCAGGGGAAGGAAGTATGACTATTGTTATTTTGCCTGTGTCATACCCACTTCTACTAGTGGCACATTTCACAGACTGTATCAAATATCTCATGTCAAAATATTAGAGAAAGAAGGATAACATTCAATAAAGGCCATTATTGGAAATCAAAGTATATTCTCAACATGTTTCAATCTCAAACAACAGATAATCACAGAAAAAAGACCTGCACAAAACTATATATGTTTCTGGGCAGTGGTCTGTGTTCTTCTGAAGTATTATAAGCATTTTAATATCAGCACACAATTGTACATACTGGGTACATCTACATATGCATTTGATCCGGCCTAAATTTACTTTGGTGTAAGCTACTCTGAAGTAACCGCTTTCAGGCAGGCATCTACACATGCAAGGATTAGGGTCAAGATTTACTGCTCTTTGCGCCAAGTTTCCTGCAGCCCTGAAATGG